AAGTGTTAACAGACACAAAAAAAAAAACTTATCATAGTAAAATCAATACCTTCTCAGCTTCGCATCGAAGCTAAAAATTGATCTGACATATTTAATAATTCATATTATTTAAAATTCAAATCCATCTAATCTTAAATTAATAAATGAATCAAAAAAGCCTTGTTTGTAAAAAAATAAAGAATTTAGTTTACATTCAAGCTCATATCTCGAAAATGTATAAGTCAGTATGTGTTTAGCGTTATTAATGGTAGCATTGTTCTAGAAATACGGATCTGCGATTTTTCAATAACTTTTGTGGCTTTTTGAGTTTAATTTTTTTTTATTTTTAAATTAATATTTGTATTTTAACTTTAATTTTTAAGAATATTAGCCACGAGTAATCAATTTTTATTATATGATATCTTAAAATGTTAACGTATTTTTGTTCAATTAACATAAAATAAATGATTTCATATGATAGCGGTTTTTTCATCAGTGACAATTACAATGATTAAAGATGACAACTTTTACAATATATATGTAGATGAAATATTTAGCTAGTAAATGTATTGTACCATTGGATGGTTTAATTATTAATAATTTATTTATTGTGGTTAATTTAGAGGCGACATACATTTGAAAACTGAACCATTTAAAACTGAATATAAACAAAACGAATTTAATTTTAGTAGATGTTCATCAGCATTTTTTTTGGGGATTGTTTTTGTATTAGTTTCTGTGAGTTTGTCATCTGATTTAGTTTACGATCGCGAGGTAATTATCAGTTATCTTTAAATTTATATATATTTTAATATGAATTTTAAATATAGTTTTATAATTTAGATGAAAACTAAAAATCAGCTTTACATTAATGGAGTTATGTTTTTGGAATACATCGGTTCTTACTTTATACTTTTGACACTCATGCTATTATTTATTTTTTTCATACTAATCTCTCTAATTTTTATTTTACATGTCGAGGGTTTAGACACGATTCCAGCTGTATATATAATGGTTATTCTATTTTTTGTCTATTGTCCAACAGCAGTTGTAGCTACTGCTTGCTTGTCTTATTTTTTTGATAAAGCTGATTCTCTTCAATGTATATTACCAAATGTTACTTCTCTAATCGGAGGGGTCCCATTCATGGCAGTTGCTTCTTTAGACATGTTAGGGGTCGCTAAAAATTTAACATTCGCTCTACATGTACTTTTTTCTTCAACAAATTTTGTTTATATTCCATTTTCAATTATATACCATGCTAATAGCGTGTATCGCGAAAGTGATCAACATACATCATTTATAAAATATGTAAATAAGGAGACGGTTGCATTACTAATGGGCTGTATTGGACAACTGCCGGTATTGTGGGTCATACTTACACTTTTAGACTCGAGCTCAAAAAAATCAAGTAATAAGAATATGACAATAGACTTGCAAGATGACGGCGATGAAGACGTGAAAAATGAAAGGAGAAAAGTAAATAATATTGTAACTGAAAAATCATATTGGCCAGTGATAGTTATTCAAGTATTTTTTTATAAATATTATATAACCAAAAGTTGATTTGTTTAACTTCTATAAAATTAATAGAATTTAAGAAAAGAATACTACAATAGAAATTTAGAATCGAATAAAATATGTTTTCATCAAAAATTATGTTTAAATGATGAACCAACAAAAAAAGTTGCAATTCGAAATTTATCTTTAACAGTTGATACAGGAGAAATACTTGGATTATTGGGTCACAATGGTGCTGGCAAGACTTCAACAATGAAAGTTTTAGCAACAGAAGAAAAAGAAACAGCAGGAAAAGTGATTATTCTATATTAAATTTTTATTTTAGTTTTTTCAATAATTTTTTGTCATAGTAATTATTAACTATTAATTTATTTTATAGTTTGAATCAGTGTTGTTTAAGAATGTTTTTGTAAAATGAACATTTTCTGGAATCGATTTCTTTTTTGGGACACAAGTTATGAAATGTGTTCCATTAGTTTTTAAAGAAATAAGACCGCTAATTAATTCATTATTTTTATAAATAGAAATTATTATATTAAAAACCCCCACTGAATAACTATTATTTGATTTAAAGATAATTTTTATAACAAAATATAATTAATTATAATATAATAACATTTTGATAATTATATATTATACAAAGTGATTATTTAACTATG